AAATGCTTAAAAGAAGGACTTCATATCAGAGATTAAAATTATAAATTTTGTGGAAAAATTCATAAATTTGCAATTGAGTGTTGTAAAAGTTTCTGTAAAAATTTTAAAAAAATATTCTGCACGAATTTCACCTGAAAAAAAAAAAACTAGTTACACGTATTTTCAACCTTTAAAAGCTATTGTAGATGCTAAAGGAAACTCCACTAAATGTTAATTTAACGAAAAATTAGATTTACTAATAGACTGAGTTTTTTCTTTAAAAGTGTATGATGACTTTTGTGGGATAAAGTTTTTGTCACTTTTTGATGATTGATTCCTTAAAAATAAACTTTTCCTTTGTTTTTAAAATATTTCATATTGTCATTTAAAATATTTCAGTTTTGTTAAGATTAGAACACATTTTTTATCATTAAATATACATTCTGAAACATTCATTTTAATTAATGGATAGTCTTATTTCATTGAAAGTCATAAGTGTATCAACACTTTTGTGAATCACTGTAATTACATTTCAATATAAAGCTGTACTGTATACTGCATTATACTGTATTTCATCTTACCAGTGCTTTTTATAAAATTCACTGATCATATTTTCCTTAAACCAATATCTCAAGTCAAATTTTTAAATAATGGTATTTTGAAATAGCATTTTTATTTTAAGAGATTCAGTATAAAAAAATAAATGTCAGAAATGTAAAATTGTCTAATTTTTAGTTCTATACTCTATAGAAGAAACAAAATAGATAAAATTCCTTAAAATTTATACTTTTTTGATTTTTTTTCTTATTTGAAATTAAAACATTTAAAGAATTCCAATCTAAACACACAGTTTTTTAGTTTAGCATAGTTAATTGTTTTTGTTTGAACAACTGGAATCTTGTACAGTGCAGAACTAAAACACTAAGTTTCGTTTTCCTTCTCCTGACTAAACACATATGAATAAAAAAAATTATATTTTATGTATATACATCATTTAATATGTTTCCTATATATTCCTTAGTCATTGTCAGCTTTTTTAGGTAAAAAGAGGAATAGTTTTGAAATATCATCTCTGGAATGCAAGCAACATTTACGAACTTTCGATATTGTGATAACTATACAATTCGAATTTTGAATCAAAAAACTAATATTTACCAACAAAACCGTAAAATTTGATATTAATATATAGTTAGTTCTAAAAAAAAACTTTTTTCAAAATAAAAATATACTATAAAAGGTTAAAATGAAATAGAAAAAATTAGCATTAATGCAAGAATTGTAACAATTTGTCGACAAACATTGCTGTTAGTGATGGGGGGAAATGCGTGATTGGTTGGTTTGCTGAGAATAAATAATTTACAGATTTCTTTGAGTTCAAAAGCTTTCAGAAAAAGAGTGAAATATAAAATCTATCATTATTAAATTATAACCAACTAATTTTTAGAGAATTTAATAAAGTTAAAAATACAAAAACATATTGACTCATTTTGTCAAAATAGAAAAAAATTACCACTCTCAATTGCGAACTATCTTGAAACATTGTGAACAAACCCACGGACAGAATTTAAAAACCGAAGGAAATATCCTAACCCCGTCTTCCACATCCACCATAATCTTTGCCTTTCAAAAATTGCACAGTCCCATAGTCTGCATAGAGATCAAAGGTTTCTACATTTGCTTAGCAACCATGGGAGAATTTTATGTTGTATTCTAGTTTAACAGGGTTATAATGGAGCAAATTTTGATGAAAGCAAAGTAAGTTGATGATATTTCAACTGTTTGGAGATACATTTCCGTCTAAAAAATGTGGGTTTAATGGATGAAACAATTTAAATTAAGAAAATTAGCAAATAATTTAATTTAGTGAAATTAAAAAAAATATGTAGGAAAAAATTTCCAGCCTTTCTTTAAAATTTCCAGGTTTTTATCCATATTTCCCTGATTTTTCCAGGTTTTTTCCAGTATAAAAAAATTCCCTGATAATTCCAGGTTTTCAAGGCTTTCCAGGTGGGTGGCCACCCTGTTCTTTTACATTGTCGCGGATTTCTGTATCTTGTTCTGTTGTTCCTTTAACCTATTCAGAATCTGTTTTAGATTTTTTAGAAAATAGATCTTTAAATTTAGGTGTCTTTTTGCTTTTAATGAAGTCAAAAATAATTACTAGAATAATTTTTTAAATATATAAAATGCTCCAAATTAGTATATAGAGCATACTGTCCTTTTAAATAAATAGAACTTAAGAAGTAAACTTAGGAATTTGAGCATACAGCCCTACAATCAGCAAAAGAAAAATGCTCTTGACTAAAAGAGTGAAGTTAACTACACCACACCAACCTTCATCAAAGTGAAATGGCTAATTCCTTGCCCTCCCCTTACAAAGTGATCAATTTATTCTCCTAACTACAGTAACTGTCAAGACAGACGGAAAACAAGAATTTCCAATGTCATTTCTTCCCACTCCTTCTCAGTGTTTTCACTACAGCGCGAGAATCTCGCATATTTTATTATTTTCTCGCATTAAAAAATTATTACCGCGAGAAATTCGCGAATTCTATAAATCAATTTTAAAATTCGCATTTCTCGCATTTTGGAAAAAGCTTCCAATTACGCCATTTAGAATAAAATCCGTTCCACTTTTCTTCCTTGATCTTTCATTATTTTCAACATCTGGTATTTTGAATAAAAGAAACCTATTTCTCCCATGATACTGGAAGAAAGTGGAAAAAACTGGAAGAAAATGAATGAAAAACATAATATAGAATTTTAAATTCCATGTAACTTATGATAATAATTTATCTTGAACTTTAATTTATTATCCTTATTATCCAAAATAAATACTAACACGTATATCTAGATGAATTATATTTTACTGAAAATTCTGTTTAAAGATAGAATTATCTAAAAAATAAATATTACTTGGTAAAATATTAGTTCAGAAATTACTTTTTTAAAACTTTTTCAATTGTAAAAACCAGTTTTTTACCTTCAATTTATAACATTTATAAATTCTAAGCTAAATACTGTAAAGGTATCAAATTATATAAGAAAAAAAGAAGCTTAGCTTCTAATATAGGAAACAATTTAAGAACTGTTTTCAGAACTGCCTTTGGTTGAAAATTAATATAATGTTTCTAAATATAAGTACAATGAGTAATTTGCAGTATACTATGATGATATATAGTTAGATTACTATATTTTTAAATTTCTTTGTATAGTTATAAATAAAGTTCTTCGACAGTTCTTTTTGTAAGACATTGAAAGAAATCGGGCGCTTTAATTTCTGAAGAAATTCATTAAATTAGTCTTTAAAATTTTTGCTTTCCTTATTTTCATTTATTTTAAAAATGATTTGGTAGTGATTATTTCAACTATTATTTAAACTATATTAAAATTATAAAATGCTTAAAATTTTAATTTAATACTTAATATTTTTTTATTAAAAAGAGTTTCTTGCATTTGAAGAAACTTATTTTAAAGAGGGTGGTTCTTATACTGGTGTCTTCCGTGGTTCTTTTTTTTCACTTAAGTATAAACTTGCCATCCCTGAATGAAAGTAGTGTTTTTCCTTACAAACTGTTCAAGCAGAGCCACAGTAGCTCAGGGAATAGAGCATTCGACTTTCAACGTTCTGAATCAGGTTTGAATCCAGGCACTGGCTGGTCGAAGCGAATTCCATACCCGGTTTGCATTGACTACAGTGTGAATAAAGTATCCACAGTGGTAGACAGATCATGGGTTAGAGTTCCCTTGCCGTCAAGCTAGCCGTGGTAACTGTGTAAAGCAAATGCAGGTTAGTTCCATCAAAAAGTCCTCAATGAGGGCACATCTCTCTCAACAGTTGATCCAGAAGTTCCCTAGTCTTTCTGATTGGGTTCAAAATTACATGACTATGGAGTTGAACATTGGTAGCTGTAAACCCGAAATTGGGTTAGCTGCTCAATGATGATTATAAAACTGTGAAAGCAAGCTGCTCAATGATGATTATAATACTGTGAAAGCAAGCTGTTCAATGATGATTATAAAACTGCGAAAGCAAGCTGCAACCTTAAAATTAAAGTATCATTCCCTACATCAAAGCTCATTGTAAAAAGGTTTAAAGTTGCTGCAGTAGAAAGTGACCAATTAGTATAAGACTTCACGAACCAAGTTCCTGTTCTTGATAGGATGCACGTAGTATGTTCTTCAGGATAAAATGTCAAACAAAGGAGCATAAGAAATTCACTATTCAAGATAGGATATTCATTTAGGTAAGTAATGAAGACTGGCAAACAGTATCAACCAAATTATTACTTTCAAAGAAATTGTTTAAGTTCATGACAATTTTTATATACTCAAAAGAAGGCAAATTGAAGATATTACAATGAAATGGATGATAATTGGGTAGAACATGGTAACAACAAGGAAAATATAGTAAAATTGCTATGAAACATTAGAACAGTGCTCTGAAATTCATTATTTACAATTTAATTCAGGAAGGAAATCTTTACTTTCCCATTTGTAAAACTTGAAAAAAGTGCTTTTGAAGATTGCAGTCAATAATACATACATCATTACTACTATTTACCTTTCAAATTAATGTAATTACTTAAACAACCATAAATGTGATTATATTACATTTGAAACTAAATTAATTCATATCTTATTATTTTCATTCTTCAAAACTTTATAGAGGGATCTCATTTATGTGATTCTCTTGGGCTAATGCATGAGTGATAGATGACTGTAATTTAAAAAACATAAAAAATTTGAGTGACTAACATACAGTGGGCTACAAATCCAGTAACTAAATATTTGAGCCTTGATTGAAGCACTGACATTTCTGTTATTTTTTTTCTTGATGGCTATAATGGGTCATACAAATTTGAACAATTATATTTTTCATTGAACATTTAAACATGAATTTTAATTATTATGAGGGATAAGCTTATTTGCTTCTACAACTGCAATAAATTATGTAAAAAAATTATTACTCTTTTGCCAAACACATATCATATATACATGAAATATATTTAAATATTCACCATTATTTCCAGAAGCAGATAGCATCAGTAAGCCATAAGCAGCATTACGATCTGATTGCGTACTTGAATCATATTTCCTTCCTAAATCAGAGATATCAGATTTCCTTCCTAAGTATGAGAATAAACATTAAAAAAAAACTTAAAATAGCATTCATAAATTGCTACCAGATTTTGCTCAACTAGTAAACAACATAATTTAAATAGAACAATTATGATTTACAATATTTGAAAGGATGCTAATTATTAAAACAAATTGTATATGTATTTCACATTTCACAGTCTGTCTTCATTTAAAAAAGTTTACCTTCAACTACAAATGATAGCCGAGAAGCATACAGGGTGTCTCAGTTAAGCGTTTCAGAACTTCTAAGAGGAGTAGGGAGCATCCTGACGACTCGAAATCATATAGCAATGTGGGGTCGGAAATGCTTCCCAGAAGTGGTGACGTGCACAGAAGCACCATAAAGAAAAGACCGTAAAGTGAAAAATTGCTACAATAATACATTGAAAAAATTATATGGTACATGGGCCAAAGTAAGTGTTCGAAGTTTCTGCCATCGGCTACAATGTACACCTCACATCTCCGGCGCATGGACATTCGAACATTCTGCAATACTCCAGGCATATCTCGCAGGCTACTGTGATTCTTGCAACCAGCATTATCAACAGGGGTGTCATAAACCAATGTTTTCATATTACTCCAGAAATCAAGACATGATAGGTCGTTTGACCGAGGAGGCCATATAATTTTTTCAATGTATTATTATAGCCATTTTTCACATACGGTCTCTTTTTTTTATGGTGCTTCTGTGTACGTCACCGCCTCAGGAAAGCATTTCCGACCCCACATAGCTATAAGATTTCGAGTCGTCAGGATGCCCCCCACCCCTCTTAAAAGTTCTGAAACGCTTAACTGAGACACCCTGTATATTTAATGGCAAAAAAAAAATTTAACTTGGAAAAGTGAAACAAAAGTAGTTATTAAAGCTGATATTTTAGCATCAAATTTATAATTTGAAATGAAGACCTTTTGGATGTAATTGATAACTCAGAAATAATGTATAGATATGATGCAAAACTTAAGTGCAATTTAAAATAGACATTTTTGAATAAATGGATCAACGTTTGCAGGCAGATTTAAAAAATATATATAAGTATTCTAAAGCACATTACTTCTGTTTGAAACAACTCAAAGATGTTTTAGAAACTACTTTATTCGCAAGATTAGATTTCTTTCAGAGGAAATTTTTAGATTTAAATATGAAGGTAAAATTAGAGTTACGAGTTACATTTTTTAGTCACATTAATAATAATGTCTAAAAAGTAACAGCCACAAGAAAAATAGAAAATAGTGATTTAGGAGATAAACTGCAAAAATTGTCATGATCTTGTTTCTCAGGTGCCAAAAGAACCATTAATAACGTTTTTAGAAAGAAGATAATTATTGGTTGAATGCTATGAATATGATATAAACTAAAATTGAAAATCCAGACAGATCTAACACTTTTAATCCCTAAAAAAAGAATACTTCACTCACTATGCTTGCTATTCAAGTGGGCATAATAAATAGTAACTTATGGAAACTGTGAAAGAGATTTTTAAAAAAATAAAGAATTAACTTAAGTAACTGAGTTGGATATTTCTTAGGGGGTAGCAATGAAAGAACTTCTTCAAGACAAAATTCCCCATATTTACTCCTGAAAGTTAGGATATTCTTTGAGCTATGAGAAGATTAAACCTAATCAACAACTATTATAGCAAACATAAAGGAAACTCAAACAGAAAGTAAAATATAGAAATAGTGTTAAAGTATAATAAAAAATGTAAGTACAGTAGAACCTCGATCAACCGAGCTTTGATTAACAGAGGTTTCTGTTAACTGAGGCAATAACAAAGCCTGATTTTTTTTTTACCTTTTTTTTCTCCTCATTTCCAAAATCAACTTGGAAAAAATTCTACGTTGTCCGTGTTACAGGCACTACTTTCCCACAAAATCCCTCAACTTCCAAGAAATATTACATTGTGAGAAGACAACATCCACGAATGCTTTGTCAACAGTGGTCATGTAACCCTATTGAATACCAGTTGATTTCCTTTTTAAATCTTTTTAGCTGTGAAATATAAGTTCATATATGTTTATTTTTATCATTTAAAATATGTTCTATTGTTGTTTAGTTTGAAAGTATCTAAATTCGCAAGCACGGAAGGTTTTTATACATGGTTTCTATTAACCGAGATTTCCAATATCCGAGGTACTAGCGGTCCCAATTAGCTTGGATAATCGAGGTCTTACTGTATGTAAAAAATGTATGTAGTATGTAATGTTAAAGTAAAATAAAAAAATGTATTATTATGCACTTAACTTAACTAAGAACTTTGTATTGTTTTAAAATTGTTATTTCTAGTCATTCAATTTATGGTAAAAAACAAAGTTTCATATCTGAATTATATAACTCTGGAACAAAACATAATATATGCATACAACTCAAGTTTGGAACTTACTTATTAGGACCAAAATAAATTATTATGTTTAACAACGAAGAGTGAAAAACTAAATTTTTAAATTAATATTTTTGAAAACAAATCACTATATGGATTATAAGTCAAAATATTGAAATTGTACAAAAGAATCATATACCACAAAGTTAAATTATAAATAAAATTAAAGATGCTAAAATAAAAAATAACAGACCCTGAAAGTGATACAAAAATTACATTGATTTTGAGATATGGTGAAATATTTAAAAAGTAAAATTAACATCAAGGGATCCAAACTTTGGACCTCTCTCCAGACCAAACTATGAGGACTATGCTTTCCGGATTATAGTCACCCTTATATTTTGGGGGTCAGAAATCCATACAAAAAATAAAAACTTTTCACAGAAAGTACATTTTGTGCCAGATTTTGTAACTAGAAATATCATCTGCACTAATTAATTAGCATATTTGAGATCCCCTCCTTGAGCTATTATAGTAAAATGATAAGATAAGAAATTAAAATTTTTGATGTCATTGATAGATTTAAAAGTTTAAAATGAAAATGAGTATGTCATATTTCTTGAAAAAATTATCAACACTGGACATACATCTTTGTGACATCAAAGAAGGTGGTCTCATAAAATTAGAAAAGTAGTGCAAATTGGAAAGCGAGACAAGCAGAACAAAATTTTTTGAAAAATTTTGAGTACACATCAGTGGATAGTGTGGATAGATAATGGTTAAAGATAATAAATTTCTTAAATTGATAAAATGTATTTTTACCTCTTTTTAACTAAAAATTTATTGCAAGCTTTGAATAGTACATAAAAAGTTTACATTTTCATAGATTCTACATAATGCATTCATTAAAACTTATGTAAGTTTGTGTTCAAACAAAAGAAAAGCTCACCAGAATTTCTTGGAGATGAAAGTTTCAGAAGACTACTTACAACATCTAACTCTGCACTGCTCCTCTTATCTTTATGACCTGTTTCGAGAAAAATTATTTAGTAAAAGAAATTTTAGGAAGCAATTATTTTAATAATTTTTCCAAATATGATAAATCAAACAATTCATTTTTCTAATCAGTGATTTTCACTTAAAATTATTTTTTTATAAACCATTTATTAGACATTTTAGTTTTAAGAAGCAATAAACGAGCAATAGTTAAGAACAGTTCAAAAGGCAATAATTAATAATAAGTTTTATTACATTTGGTTTGGCCACAATAGCATTTTATACTTATTTAAAGCACAACTTTAAACATACTTTTTTCCTAATCAATTTACTGAATTGTATATGGATAAGAGTCAGTATTAGCTATGTGAGAACAATTTCTTCACTATTATGCTTAATGGTATAAACATTTATCCTTTAAATCAGTCTGATAAAACTACATTGCATATTCATATCAAAAAATAGCAATTTAGTAAATTATTATTTAAATTTTTATCATGAATTTAAAATTTTACTCCTTTTCAAATAATGACATGGTAGATTTTGTATTAAGTTATAGATATAGAATTACCAAAATGAGGTTTCTAAAATAAATATCTCACTAAAAATTTTACTTATTTTCCAGAAGTAGTGTTGATCTAATCCTTGGTGGTTTAGTTAGGCTATACCATCTCCAACTCCATGAAGGAAAAGATTTCCAGCATTTCTTAAAAGCTCATGTATAATGCATATCAAGTAAATTGTGCATTTAAGTACATGAGTAGGAAAGGCCTGACCTGCTTTGCACCAATGATACTGGGATTATCTTAATGAATTCAGCAGAATTCAGAATATTTGCTTATTTTTTTATATAAGGGTTCAATTCAAGCATTGAAAATCAGAAGTTTTAAGAAAGATGAGGAAAAAAAAACTTTTCTCCCCATATTTTGGATTTTTTAATTTATAATTTTAAATTTATTTGTAATTTGAAATTTTAAAATTATTTTATAAATAAATAGCTTTTTTTTAAAAAAAAATACACCTTCAAACATTCATTGTTTCATAGTTTTCAGTTTAAATGATACAAAAAACTTCCAAATTGTTTATCAATTAATCATTTTTTTAGTTTACTTTTTTTGAAAAAATTTGTACACAGTGATTGTCTTAGGATGTCTTTAATTATTTTTTATAAACTACACATTTTTCTCTTATTTTGATAATAAGTATTACTCTTGAAAATGCACAGATTAAATAATAAAAAAGGGTAATTTAAAAATTGTTGAGGATCAAATTCAGTTTTTACATAATATTACACATTTGACAAATTTTCACGATGTCACCTTTCAAAACTCAAAGTGCCCTTTTCTCTGAGGAAGAACTCAGACTTTTTTTTATTTCTAGGGAAAACTTTGATTATTATAATCAGAAATATGAAGTATCATCAGCAAGTGCATGCCTTTAAAATGCTGTTACTTTGAAAGGATGTCCCTCTCATGTTTACTTTTGCATTGCAATTTCAACTTTTATATTGATTGTATTCTTATGCACAGAAAATAGAATAAATTATTTTTAATACAGTCAAACCCTGCTATAGTGAACACGGTTTATAGTGAACTCCCGGATATAGTGAACAAAATATTCGATCCCGTGCCTTAGTATACCCGTATAATGTTATATTTTGTGGATATAGTGAACCAAAAAAGTGATGAAATTAGATATAATGAACTTTTTCTGTCATTGACTGATTTCTTTCTTCTTTTTTTTGTAATAATTTTAAAATTTCTACTTCAAAATAAATACATATACTGATTTTTAAAACCATCTATAGAGGGGAAGGTAGCGATAAGCATTTTTTTCTTGTTTGCTTCGTTTATCTTACTTTCTCATCCCTAAACAAATCAAGTAGATGTTTCCAACCCAGGCAGATGATGTCAGTGGGATCAATATGCATTTTCTGTCAGAGGGAAAGAGTAATTATTCATTATTGGTCAAAGGGTTAGACACTAATATGTGTTGATAAGGCCCTCATTTCAACTCCTTTTTGCTCTCAGTTCAGTTAAAAAAAAACCTGCAAGCAAGTGTCTCAAATTTAACTATGGATGGCAGTAAATGTAAAATGTTCTTCATTGATGATAAATGGGCATAATTAGAAAAATTGAAAATGGATGTAATCAAGCTGATATTTGCGGGGAATGTAAACTATCCAAATCTACAGTTTGTAACATATGGAAAAATAGGCAATTAACAATTTCTGCTCATGAAAAAAATTTAAATGGCAGAAAAAAGTTGAGAAAAGCAGATCACAAGGATGTTGAAGAAGCATTCAAAGCCGCCACCATCTTCCAGTATCTGGACAAGTGTAGATGAATTTGCTGAGCGATTTTATGAGACTACTTTTATGTGTTCGTTAGACAGGTTTAAAAAGCGGAATAACAGAAATTCAGGAAAAATTATCTGAGAGTTGGGAAGTATTTCCATATCTGATGTTGAAGATTGCTCATCAGCTAAAGATTACAAATTTTTTTTTTTGTACGCAGGACGAAGAGTAATAAAAAATAACACATTTTTTGCTACTACATAATATTTTTCAGTCATTCATTTGAATAATGTGTAATAAAAGGGAGGAGTTTGGGAGTCATTAGTAAAATTGCCCGCGTAACGGATATAGTGAACTCCCACTTATAGTGAACCGAAATTTCGGTCCCTTGAAGGTTCACTATAGCGGGGTTTGACTGTTATAATAAATATTACAAAGGGAATTAAAAAATAAGATAACTTTGCTTCATAAACTCTCATTTACCAAATCAATAATATATAGGTCTATCAAATATTCTAGAATTGGTTTCGAATGGCCAACCAAATTTTTATGTTTGGCGGTATAAATGTTCATTTTCATACCCTCGTAAGTTAGAACCCAACCTGAAAAAAAAGGAAACTGCTAGATCAAACCATGGGTTTAATTAGCCATCATAGAGGGTTTTTTCATGGAGTTCATCCACATATACAGTACATGGAGAGGAAAAACATTAAAAACTCTCATAAGCTCAGCAGCCTGCCACTCAACATATTTGACATCAGTGTCATGCTTGATGTGAGTTAGGAGCAGAATTTGAATTGACCAGTCTTTACTAGGATTTGAACCTGAGTTGCCTCTGCGAGTTCTCCATCCTTTAGGCCATTGTGGCTTCCAATTAAATATAATCAATTTTGTTCCCATTTAATGCTATTTATACACCCTATATAGCCTCTCATCAATTTTTCTCAAAAATTAAGAACTTAATCATTGTTCAATGAAATTTATGATTAAATATTTATATGTCATGTAAGGAGAAACATTACATACTGAACTGAATTTTTCCATCCTCTTATAATTCAGAGCAATATAATCTTCAATCTATGGTTAACATGACCAAATTAGCACAATATGGTTAACAATACACTTCTGATAATGCTAGTCACAAAGGACACACAAATAATTTCGAATTATCGCTGAACGTAAAAATTAAGACTATTTAAAACTGTTTAACTAAAAAATTCAGAAGCTTTGAAAGTTCTCACAGGAAAAATTTAAATATACAATGTTCATCAAAATCTTGCATATAAAAAGGGATATAGTTACAAGATAATAAAAGTAGGTTACAAGAATCAATAAATTCTTTAATAATAAATCAAATGTTACATTAACTGAACAAAATCAAATTCAGATTCAAATTTTAAATATATATATATATATACATAAATTTTGCTTATATTTATTAAAAAGGATAACTTAAAATGCTTACTAAGTTCTTTGCCAGTTGCTCGCTTGTGCAAGGGTCCTGGGATATTATCTTTCCTTGACTGAAAGAGAATCACGCATTAGAGATATATTAATAAAAAAATTATTAATATTTATTACTTACAATCATATTTCAGAAGGACAAAGAAAGTAAAAATATCCCCATGTAATTAGGATTATATGCAGAGTTGCTATTTTGTACTGTCATTGAACGAGATTTTACAAATGGTAATAAAATAATAACTCAAGAGCCCATTTAAGTGAAAGGCAAGGTTAGACATTGAATTGACATTGTTGATCATGTAAAGCAGTGTTTCCCAAAGTGCGGTACAAGTACCCCCAGGGGTACAGGAACAGTTTAGCGGGGGTACGCATTCTTACGTGAAATATCTTGCAAGAAACGAAACTTCAAAAAGTTTTATTTAAAAACAAAGCTAACAATGAAAATTTACGATTGCGTATTTTCCTATTGGCTATATTTTGCAGAGTTAAAAGTTAATAATTAGTGGTGCCAACAGCCAGTTCTGATTTTAAACTTTTGTGCAATTTTTTAATAGTAAAAAATACATTTATTTTTTTATTGGTGGTACACAGCGTTATGAAAAATTTAGAAAGGGCACACAAAAGTCATAAGTTTGGGAAACACTGATGTAAAGCTACAAGAGACATTTTTTTCATGGAAAATTTTTTCCTAAAGTTTTGCAACATCAAAACTAAAGATCCTCTGGAATTATAAGAAAATACATAAATTTACATTTAATTATTTTGTGAAATAAGAGAGCCATAGCACTGACAACTGTTTTGTGTTTTTCTACATTGACACTATTAAGGCAAAAACACTTACAGTTGACTTTTGCAATGGAGGTCATTAAAAAATCTTTCAAATGAGGCTCTTTTCCCAAACATTGATCAACAAAATTTACATAAGCCAACAGTTAACCTATATCTCATCGATTTCAATGAATATATATTAAAGAGTAGTGTACTTATGTGTAAAATACTTTCGATGCCATCTTAAAATAGTAATAAAAAAAAACGATTAAATGTTGTGTGGGTTTTAAAGTTATTAACTGACTTTGTGAAAAGGGACCCTGTACGAAATTAGCTTTAAGAATAGCATAAATAAAATTAATTCACACATTTATGGTTACTTGTGCATGTCTATATATTCATGCTTAACCCACGGATGGTTCTGAACGTATAAAGTTGTATTGTAACCTGCAGTCTTCTCCGCATAGTAAAACAGATTTTCCATGTCATTAGATAGATAAATAGTGCATTAGGAAGAAACATTCGCCCAATTTTGGCTGTTTCCTAAATGGCCAATGGGCTAAGTTGCCATCTTGAATTTGCTGAGGGGGAGGGGAAGAATGTACATATTGCTGTCCAGCCAAGTGAGATATAGTTTTTTATGCCTTTTTTTACATTTATCTGAAACATGACAGTCTGAAAATAATTTTGTCAGTAGATTCAGGGGTCATTTCAGTGAGCAAAAATATAAACAGACCACCCTCAACAAGATCTGATCATTAGATCTTCACGTTCTAGGACTCACTCTTAGTGGCTCAAGGCAGTGACCTCAAATATGCTAATTATTAAGAGCAGACAATATTTAAAGTTACGAAATTAGACACAAAAATGTACTTTCTCTGAATAAACATGTCTTTCTTTCGACAGATTCCCCCCAAAATTATAGAAGGCAATCTGGGAAACATGGTCCCCATAGTTTGGTCAGGTCAAAGTTTGGACCCCTTAATGTTAATTTTACTTTTTGAGTATTTCACTATATTCTGAGAAAATTGTAAGCAAATCAAAAACTTTTTACACACAATTATAAAACTAGTTTATCCAAAGATAATTCCATGCAAAAAATAAATTTTATCAAATATTTATTATTTTATTTAAGAATGGTTGAATAAATTTAGAATTGTAAGGCATAAAATTTTTTGCATCATTGTAAAGAACATAATTTTGCATGGCAAAATTCAGAATCGGTTGAAAAGATCAAAATCGGTTGAAAAGTTCCTGAGAAATCGAATTTTAAATATCTATTCAATTTCTCAGGAACTATTCAACCAATTTTGCCATGTAAAAGTACATTCTTTAAAATGATGAAAAAAACTGTTTCAACTTACAACTAAACTTTTTTTTCTACCATTATTAAGTAAAACAATAAATATTTACTAAAAAATGTTTTTTGCATGGAATTATCTTTGTATAAACGAATTTTATAATTGGTTGCAAAAAGTTTTCAATTAGATTTAAAAGTTCATTACATCTGGCAAAATATGCAAGTAAAATTAACATTAAGGAGGTCTAAACATAGGAGCGATCGTTTGATCAAACTATTGGGGCTATATTTCCCAGATTGCGACTATCCAATATTTCGGTGGTCAGAAATCCTTCAAAAAAATAATATTCAGAGGAAGTAAATCGGGTTTTTTTTGGTGTACGGTATAACAAATTTTATATGAAAACGTAAAAGGTTAAATGGGATACATCTTATAAAGATTTCAGACCCTTACTTTAAACATTTTTATCAAGAGCTATCATTCAGCCTAAATTTTTGCATCTATCTAGAGAAAGAAACAGAATACTAGTTCACTTTTGTATTTGCACAGTATCCGTGACAGGAAAATCTGCTCATTTTTAAACAACAAAAATGTGGGTTACCTTTTACCCCAAGGTCTTCACATTTTAAACATATCTTTTGAAACAAGAAGCAAATGTTTCAAATTTAAAAAGAAGTAAATATGAAAATAAGTAAATATGAAAATACCCTAGGTTCTGGAGAGCGGTTACGGACTTTAAGGTTTCTTTCCATATTCATTCTCAGGTTCTTCACCAACAAATTAAAAGTTCAAATGTATCTATAAGAACAAAAGATACATTAAAAGAAAAATAGTAAAAAATATTTGTTAAGAAATTATTTAACTTTTTATAACCAGTTTGGGATCACGGTATTATAAAAAATCAGTCTCAAAAATTAATCTTTTGAAACTGACATGAAACTTTTTTGTCTAGATTCAGTATGTAATTGAATAGTCAACTGGAAGTTAAAGAAATAAGATTGCTATATAAATTTTCAAACAATATCAACGAAAAAAAAAAATCTTCTTAGTTTACTATAACCAAGAGAAATTAAATGGATACATTTTATACTACAAATGTCAAAGAGTTAGGTAAAAGAGTAAAAACATTTGAATTTTTTGAAAAATAGTTAAATAAGTACAATCCGAATTTTGTATGAAAAATTTAGTTTTAAATGAAAGTAATAAAACTTAAAATATGCTGGAAAAAAAACATGATTTAAAGTAAAACATGATATAAACTGAGAACAATAACATTTCACTAGGGCATGAAGCATAACTCTTAAATAAAAAATTTTATTAATTAAAGTTTGTTCTCTTTCCCATAGTTTTAAAATTGTATCATTACAAAAGCTTAGTTTTGGAACGAAAAATTTTAAAGCAAAACCAGATTTAAAAAATTAGAGGTAAAGAAATTAAAAAAAAGGGAATATATACACTTTTCTTACTTTGTTTTGGTTTACTTAACAGCTTTTGATTTTTAATGTAACACTCAAATGTTTTCTGTATGTTTGTTCCGTCGTTTTTTTTAAAAATTTTATGTTTTTTTAAATAAAATAGGAAAATTTATGAAAAATATTTTTTAAGTTTTTAATTAAAATTCAATACATAAAAATAAGTAAAAGATGAAGAAACCATTTATACTTTGATAGTTTATAAACTAGATAGTCATTAAGTTTCTTAGTTTCACAAGAATTAGGAAACAATTTTAGGAGCTTTAAAAAAAAATATGTAAAAAAACCATTAATTGCTAAACTTGGTAACTGGGGGACATATTTCTTATAACCTGCAAGATATTTAAAACATATTATTTTGCATTCTAATACTAACCTTTATTAACAAAAACAAATAGTTAAAAAGCAACAAGAAACAATAGTTAATAAAAACAAACAGTTAAAAAGCAAACACTAACATCCGTATTCACCATTGACCCTAACCCTCGGTCAGAATTTAAAACAGGTTTTATGAGAGCAACTCTAGGTTAGAGTCTAAAATTTCATTTCACCGTGTACGTAACTACGAGTTACTCTAACCCAGAGTTAAATAACCTTAACCTGAAGATATTCTCGGTTAGAGTAACCACGGACGCACAGTAGTGTGTGCTTATTTACTTCGCTTTCTTAGTCAGTATTTTTTTTTATTTCTGTTTCTGAATTTTAATTGTTTTGAATTTCGATTCTTTTTTTTGTATTTTTAACCTGAAGATTTCTCTGGTTTGAGCAACCACGGATGCGAAGGAGATTTTTTATTTATTTATGTTTTCAAAAATAACACTTTTGATGTTCAATGAGGTCATTTTTTTTACTTGATGTAACTATAACTAATTTATATTTTATAAGTGCTTATTAATAAAGTGAAAATTAAATAACACCTTTGATGTTCGGTTGCTTTTTTTTTTATGTTCATTGAGATCAATTCTTTTACTACATGTAACTATAATTAATTTATATCGAATAAATGCTTATTAATAAAATGAAAATTAAATTTTCCTGAGTTAATATCTTCTATAGAAGATACTAAAGATATTTCTCAAATTATTATTAACAGTCATTGCAGCACTTAAATAATTTTTCGCTCGAAAAAAAAAATCGTGGATAATACAGATTGCGGCTACAATGATTCAAATGAATAGTGTAAGTAAGAAGATTCTAAATGGTTTAACTAACTTTTATTTAGTTTTTTAAAAGAAAGAAAAACGATCAATACTTGAAAGAAATATAAAATTTAAAGAAGAATATAATTCATTAAATTATTATAGATTTTAATATTAATTATCGAGATAAGATTTTGCCCAAAAATAAAAATAGTTTAGAGATGAACTGGCAAAATAATATGCAATATCTAGATATGAAGATAACGAAAAGAATTTTAAATCCATGAAATAAAACTAGTAATAAAATTAAAAACATATGAATTATTTTAAATATATATTAAAAATTATGCTGAAAAAAATATTACGTAATCAATACAAATTTTGATCTGAGGTAACATTTAAACTACACAATAACATGCATCAAATAACTTTGCAAATCAGGAAATTTAGAAATTTATAACCATAAAATAATCTGCTGAATATTTGAAAAAAATATAATCATTTGGAAGAGATTAATTACTTAAAACTATATGAAGTTAAAATGCTCGTCTTCAGTTGTCATTTTTAATATATAGCCTGACTACTTTATGACATATGGGGCATATATACAACTGATATATTTCCATTTACAATTATCTAAATAATAAAATTTTTAAAGGCATGATCTTTTCTAAATTTTAAAAGTTTTGGAATATTTGTTCCGATTATGACACCCTCTTTGTGGACACTGTTTTGGAGCGTTGCTTTGGAACTTTTCTCACGGGTCTATATGAGTGTTTGTGTTTCCTTTTTATTTCAAGACAATATCAGTTATTGCATAGATCCAGTCATATGTCCCAGCTTCTGATGGCATCTGGATGATATCACCTGATCCCCCTAGCTCAGATTGGTCTCTACTGTTTGAATGCGATCTAGTAAATTAAATAGTAATTAATAGTTCTTGATTTTTAACTGTGTCTAGTCTGACTTTTTGTTGGTAACATTTACTATATTGACCTATCACTTTCATTATTGGCAAAAATGGAAAAGCATTATCTGATGGAACGTGGATCTTTTGAGGGTGAATAACTCATATTGATTTTTCATTTACTTTTGCTTAGTGGTCTGAGATTGCATCCAAAAAAAAAAGCTCATTTTTTTCTCTTCATTATTATTTTACGTGGTTAATATGCACAGGTGTATCAGCCACATTTCTTGATTTTTTTTATCTGGAAACAAATTAGTAATCCTGGGTTAATATTGCAGGCATAACTGGCATCTAACCATTATATTTCTTTGGTCAGGCCATAAAAATATACCATCTTTTTCCCTTCATCACCTTTTGTATCAAAATTATACATATTTGTCGTTTTAACTTATCAAAAATAATTTTGCTATAAAATTCAGGGCCTGAGTTCTTAATGATTTTCTCTTTTCTACATTTAATAGACTCTTTTGCAATATTTCATTAATGCAAATATAATTATTATCATTAGCCAATAAATAACTCTGGTACACAAGGTAGAAGACGTAAAGGTTTTGAGAGAAAAATAAATTTTCTAGGGACCCCTAAAACTTTTATAAAATTAAATTTAATCTAAATTAAATACAGCACCTTCAACTCAGAATGGTCCTTAAACAATTCTATAAGTATGTATGATATTTTTTGACTCAATAGTTTTTCTGTTATGAAAGTAAGAAGTGTATGCATCATAAACTATTTGAAGCAATGATGACCTAATCCCTGCGGCAGAATTTCTTTGGGCTTTCTGCGACAAACCTCTCTAGCACTAATATCCTTCTGCAAGATATTTTTAATAACAAATACACATGTTACTAATTAAATTTAAAGTAATAAAAAAGTTGTGCTAACAGAAACACTATTAGGATAATAAAAAAAATTTACATATAATTTTTTTAAAATGAATATGTAATATTTTTTTTTATTCTAATATCATGAGCAATATTCTCACATTTTGTAAGAGGAAAACACACCAATTATATCTTTTTTCGCATTTCGTAAATCAACATCACATAAAAAATACTAATTGAAAATCATGAAATCCGTAGCAGTAATTACCAGGAAAAAAATAAACGGCAAAATCTGGCGAATCGGACTCTTCAAAAAGGGGGGCAGTAAATAAGTGTTTTGCTTCGAGATTTCGTTGTGGTAGTAAATAATATCATATTAAAAATATGGAATTTTAAAAACTGTGTGGAAATAAATGCCTCCTCCCCCAAGAAAAAACATTAGAATCATTGCTTTGAAAATTAAATATTCATAAGCACGATTTAAATTTCCCACATTGTCAAAAAAATATCGGGACATTAATAAACCATGCGAAAAATCAATATCAATAACTACAGAAAATAAAGTGAAAACACTACAAGGATTTGCAATAGTTTGGCGCAAAATGATTATTTAAGTGCCCAATATAAATGGGAAAAAAACTATGAAATCATCACATTAAAAGTAAATAATTGATATGAGTTTGTTTTTCAAAAATGTGAAAATTCTCAGCAATAACTGTCGAAAGAATGATTGAAATACTGCATGGATTAAACGAGAGTATTGGTGCAAAAGAATGATTTCTTGAATCCGTAATTAGAATTTTGCGTGCCATAATAATATTGGTATACCAAAAAATTCACGAGAATATAAATAATAACAGAGCAATGAAAGACATCAGAATTTCAAAGAAAAAAAAAACTAAAATTCATAGCATTATCAACGATGAAATTATGTGAGGGAATGACAAATCCAATAAAATTTAAAAATAACAGTTAGGCCTTATTGATTTCTGAAATCAATCACATACAATTATATTAATACAAGAAAGCAACATGTAATTATCCACTTTCTCAATGAACTTGTACTTCACTTTAATGAAAATATATCGGAATATTAATAAACCATGAGAAAAATCAATATCAATAACTGTGGAAAATAAAGTCAAAACACGAAAAAACTATAAATCATCACATTAAAAGTAAATAATTGATGAGTTTGTTTTCGTTTTTCAAAAATGTGAAAATTCTTAGGAATAACTGTCGAAAGAACAATTGAAATACTGCATGGATTAAACGAGAGTATTGGTGCAAAACGAGCTTGTCAAAGAAGGATTTCTTGAAACCGCAATTAGAATTTTGCGTGCCATAATAATATTGATATACCAAAAAAATTCATGAGAATATAAATAATAACTGAGCAATGAAAGACATCAGAATTTCGAAAAAACAAAGCAAAAATTCATAGCAATATCAACAAAAAAATTATCAATGATAAATTATGTGGGGGACTGACAAATCTAATAAAATTTAAAAATAACAGTTAGGCCTTATTGATTTCTGAAATCAATCACATACAATTATATTAATACAAGAAAGCAACATGTAATTATCCACTTTCTCAATGAACTTGTACTTTATTTTACTTTATTGAAAATATATTGGGATATTAATAAACCATGAGAAAAATCAATATCAATAACTGCGGAAAATAAAGTCAAAACACTACATGGATTTGCGATAGTATTGGCGTAAAGTGATTATTTAAGTGCCCAATATAAATGGGAAAAAACTATGAAATCATCAGATTAAAAGTAAATAATTGATTGGAGTTTGTTTTCGTTTTTCAAAAATATGAAAATTCTCAGCAATAACTGTCGAAAGAATGATTGAAATACTGCATGGATTAAACGAGAGTATTGGTGCAAAACGAGCTTGTCAAAGAAGGATTTCTTGAATCCGCAATAAGAATTTTGCGTGCCATAATAATATTGGTATACCAAAAAAATTCATGAGAATATAAATAATAACTGAGCAATGAAAGACATCAGAATTTTGAAAAAAAAAAACAAAGCAAAAATGCATAGCAATATCAACAAAAAAATGATCAATGATGAAATTATGTGGGGGAGTGACAAATCTAATAAAATTTAAAAAGAACAGTTAGGCCTTATTGATTTCTGAAATCAATCACATACAATTATATTAATACAAGAAAGCAACATGTAATTATCCACTTTCTCAATGAACTTGTACTTCATTTTACTTTATTGAAAATATATTGGGATATTAATAAACCATGAGAAAAATCAATATCAATAACTGCGGAAAATAAAGTCAAAACACTACATGGATTTGCGATAGTATTGGCGTAAAGTGATTATTTAAGTGCCCAATATAAATGGGAAAAAACTATGAAATCATCAGATTAAAAGTAAATAATTGATTGGAGTTTGTTTTCGTTTTTCAAAAATATGAAAATTCTCAGCAATAACTGTCGAAAGAATGATTGAAATACTGCATGGATTAAACGAGAGTATTGGTGCAAAACGAGCTTGTCAAAAAAGGATTTCTTGAATCCGCAATAAGAATTTTGCGTGCCATAATAATATTGGTATACCAAAAAAATTCATGAGAATATAAATAATAACTGAGCAATGAAAGACATCAGAATTTCGAAAAAACAAAGCAAAAATGCATAGCAATATCAACAAGAAAATGATCAATGATGAAATTATGTGGGGGACTGACAAATCTAATAAAATTTAAAAAGAACAGTTAGGCCTTATTGATTTCTGAAATCAATCACATACAATTATATTAATACAAGAAAGCAACATGTAATTATCCACTTTCTCAATGAACTTGTACTTTATTTTACTTTATTGAAAATATATTGGGATATTAATAAACCATGAGAAAAATCAATATCAATAACTGCGGAAAATAAAGTCAAAACACTACATGGATTTGCGATAGTATTGGCGTAAAGTGATTATTTAAGTGCCCAATATAAATGGGAAAAAACTATGAAATCATCACATTAAAAGTAAATAATTGATTGGAGTTTGCTTTCGTTTTTCAAAAATATGAAAATTCTCAGCAATAACTGTCGAAAGAATGATTGAAATACTGCATGGATTAAACGAGAGTATTGGTGCAAAACAAGCTTGTCAAAGAAGGATTTCTTGAATCCGCAATAAGAATTTTGCGTGCCATAATAATATTGGTATACCAAAAAAATTCATGAGAATATAAATAATAACTGAGCAATGAAAGACATCAGAATTTCGAAAAAACAAAGCAAAAATGCATAGCAATATCAACAAGAAAATGCTCAATGATGAAATTATGTGGGGGACTGACAAATCTAATAAAATTCAAAAATAACAGTTAGGCTTATTGATTTCTGAAATCAATCACATACAATTATATTAATACAAGAAAGCAACATGTAATTATCCACTTTCTCAATGAACTTGCACTTTATTTTACTTTAAAAAGAGACATGAGAGAATAACAAATGTAAAAAATTTTACCTGGTTTGATTCCACAGCAGAGCTTCTTAAGTTGAAGATGAAAACATACTGTAATTTTGTTTTATGATGCCATTTGTTAATTGATAAAGTTTTTATTAAAATATTTTTATTTTAAGAAGATTGCAGGTGGTAATAACATTGTTGTGAGTGAATGATGCAAAAGTTTAAAATAGTGCTGTGGTAATATTTTTATCAGAAATGAAATTTAAAATTGATTTTCGGAATTCTACATTTCAATATATTCTGAAATAAAAAAAGTGAATTTCTAAATTTATTTTCTTTTATTTCAGAAACAATTTTTTCTTTTTTTAAATCAACATTGGGGACAAGTGAGGGAAGTTAGATATTGGTATATTTTAATTACCTAAAATAAATAAAAAATAGAAGTTTGTAATTTTTTTTTTTTTATTCTTTTGTTAGGCTGCATTCTGAAAGACATTTTCCCCCAATTTAATTTTTTTACAGCTAAATGAATTATATTTTGATTACATCATTATTAGGTTCGAATAGAAAATGTCCTCTTTTGTACTTTCAAAGCAAAATATTTACAATACTTCACGAGCAAAAGTAATATATGCAGATTCTGTGTGTAAATATTAGATTGCACCATATCGAAAATTATCCAGTTTCAAGGGGAAACAATTTAGTTGTACAGTGCTATTTTTTGAAATGTTTTTCAGTAAAGGTTGTGATTAAAAATAACAAAAATAATTTTAATTTTTTATAAAATTAAACTGAAAAGAAACACAGATATTATGTTATCCCTTTTGGCGTTAAAATTTGCTTGTTATGACTGATAAATATTTCATTGATAGATACTTCATTGATATATTATCCGATATTGAAAAGGTTGCAATGATTGATAATCACATAATGTAGTTGTATTCATAATTTAGAGCACAATATAATTATACTTCTGATCACTTTAACAACCAAAATACTAAGAAAAACTTACTTATTAAAAATACATTCAAACCAATATAAGAGACCTAAGATAAATTTATATGAGATAGTAGAAGAACAATAGTCTGTCATGCAAAAGGAAATCAGAAGTGTAGAAAGAGCCAGGAAGTATTTAGGTAAAGTCGCTACATACCTACAATGTAAAATAAGAAAACATAAACAACTTATTCTGGGCAAATATTTTCCCTTAAAAGAGTAATGGCTTTTGAAGTAAAAAACCAAATTTGAAGTAAAAGTTGATAGAATTTTAAAAGTAATTGCCAAGATATATATTGCTTTATATTAACTTTTATAGCCATTAATGAAATTAAAAGAACTATATCAAGCATGAATTATAAATTTAATCTATTTTAATGAAACAAATTTATTTGCTCAAATTTAAATTTCTGATTTCAATCTTATTTGCTAAGAAAAATTATCCCTTTCAAACTATATGATTTGAAGCTGTGGAATTTTGCATCCATAAGTTGATAAAAGCTGTGAAACAGTTTTCATTTCTTCTGCCAAATATCCTTTGATATGCTGAGTGCAACCTGCATGTGTAGGGTAATCACATAATCTCGATTATTTTGAATAGTCTATAACTTAAAACTCTTGAAAATCAAATCAGTATGATCGGAATCATCATGAATTTTTTTAAAACCATAACTCAAAATTAGCTTAAAACGAAACTTAATGTTAATTAAAGAGTGGCAGTAATTGCTTATAATGTCAGAAACCACATTCTGGGTAAACGGAATTAACGGAGCCAAAACTTGTTCTAGGGTGCAGTGATGTTGTTTACAATGAAGTTTTATTTTAATCTTATTTTTGAGAAGAATTAAACTTTAATTTTATTTAATAGAAGTGGGCAAGTGAAAAAATAAAGAATAAAAATTTTCGAAAAAATATAGCCTCTTTCTCGCTAATATATATGTGGGTTCTCTTTTTAAAAAATGTAGACCAGGACACAGAATTCTAAATTTGAAGAATCTACATAGGTATTACGCAGTATTATATGATGCTTATTAAGACTAAATTTTAAACCATTTCAGAAATCAGAAGAGAACACTGGTTTGAATTTAAAATTAGTAATTTAAAAGAAGCTTTGTTTCTTGATGACTATAAAAAGAAGAAGAATAAAGCTAATCTTACTTATATGCTCAATGCATTTACTATCTAGATGAATCATAGAAGAAAATAGTATTCAGAATACGCGCGAAGTGAAAAAATAAAGAATAAAAACTTTTGAAAAAAGATAGCCTCTTTCTCGCTAATATATACGTGGCTTCTCTTTTTAAAAAATGTAGACCAGGTCACAGAATTCTAAATTTGAAGAATCTACATAGATATTACGCAGTATTATATGATGCTTATTAAGACTAAATTTTAACCATTTCGAATCAGAACAGAACTCTGGATTGAATTTAAAATTAGTAATTTAAAAGAAGTTTTGTTTCTTGATGGCTATAAAAAGAAGAAGAAAAAAGCGAATCTTACTTATATGCTCAATGCATTTACTATCTAGAGGAATCATAAAAGAAAATAGTATTCAGAATACGCGCGAAGCGTCCTAAACTCAATCCACTCTCAAGAAATTAATATATATTTATATATGTTTAAAAAGAAAACAAGTAGACAATCAAGAAAACATTGTCTTAGAAAATATAAGATATACGTACTCAGTGTTTCATTTCTTCAATGAAGAACAGAATCGGACGCTTTGCTTCGAATATCTGTGTTCTAAAGAAATTCAAAATGTGTAGAATTCTATTGATTGTTGACGTTTCGAAAGATTCAGTGTTATCACAGAAATTGTGCGAAATAGACGCACTAAATCTTTTCAACGTTTAAGTTTGGGTATACTTCAATACAATATCAAATTGTGTTGAATTTATGAACTTAAAACTGTTTCAACTTTTTAATTCGTAATAGAGTTGAAAAACCATATACATCAAATTCTTCAACTTTCTATTTTCGTTCAACTTTTGACAGTTCTCTACTCTACAAGTTTTTTTCAAGTATTTTAGCAGCCGCCGCAGCTCTATCACACTAACCCTACAAAATTGCGGGGCATCTGAAATTTTGGAGCGCCAAGTCTATTATCTCGCCAAGTACTGAGTAAATGTGTTTAGTAAATCAGCTAATGATTTTGGTTAGGAAAAACATAGTAGACTCAGTTTTTCTCTACCACATCATAATTTCTATTAAATAAATTTATTTGACATAATATAATTTCTAAGTTGTAATTATTTAATACTTATAATATTTGTTCTATTATATTTTCAGTTGACGCCATTATTTTTTAATTAAACAATAAACTTCTTGAAATTAGAAACTGCGTTTTATAAAAGATTTTTTAAAAGTGTGAACTGGGCAAACCTTCATACTTTAGAGTAGTTGTACTCACTCTGTTCTGAGGGAATAGTATTTAAACATACACAGCAATAACTTTATGTCTAAAAATATTACAAGTGATTATTGAGTTTAAAGAAGTATCAAGTAGCTATTTACTGATGAAAAATTACAAATCTGAAATAAAATTGATTAAATTAATTTAGTTTGATTCAGTAATTTAAACTATTTGGAGACAATTCAATCATTTTTTTCCCTTGGTCTTAATAATTTCTGATTTATTTATTTTTAAACCGGTGTCTTTTTTCAATTTCCTATTTAACAAGGATATCTGCCAAAATTCTTGATTTAGTCTTTTCTGAATGAAAATTATAACAGATGTGAGTCTTTCTTGATTTTACTTCTAAATCACAGACAGAAACAACACGTCTGCTAGATACTGCGTTACAATCTGGTGAACATCAGATCAATAAATGCCCTAAGATGAAGAAAATAAAAAACTTGCATGGTCAAACCGTTTTTCGCTAATTTTTTCCTTTACATGTGTGATATGTTTAAATTACAATATTGTATTTCCCACACCAAGTTCATTTATTTAGTTAACTTAGGATTTTATTGTTTATTGACCATACATTTTTTTTTATTTTTAACTTTTTGATATTTTAATTATTATTTATTTAAAAATAATAAGGCTTTTAAATTTTTAAAATTGTAAATCGAATCTTCAGACTGCTATGAAACTTGAAGATGGTTTTCAGTAAAAGAAAGGAAACATTTGCATTTAATTTATTTAAAAAAAAGTTATTGTCTATAGATGGGAGTATGCCAGCTTTGATTTACGGCATAGCAGTTTATCAGTTGGGGCTCGAGATATACTTGGAATGGAGAAATAAATTTTAAATTCAAATAACTCCTTACAATTTAAAAATCCATAAACTGACATTTATTTGAAACACTGCATTTTGTGTTTCAAATAGGTATTTTTTTTAAAATAAAAAATTAGATGTTTTTCAATTAAAAGCGAAACTGCTTTCATAAATTTTACATAAAATAAATGTTAAGGACTAATTCTTCAGTATTAGTCCTTATCTTTGATTGAGAAAATTTCAAAATAAAAATTCGCACAGGTAGCATTCCCCAAAAGCAGCTCTGAAGTTGTTAATTAAATTTATTTTTAATCTTTGATGACTTCTGTTGATGCTTCAGCAAGACTGTGATTTCGACAAAAAGAAACATAATTCTTGCGGGGCACAAGAAGAAGGAAGAAAAAACTAGATGAAATGAAAGAGTTTAACATTGACCAATATTATTAACTAATGACTAACAAATGAATAGTTTAATTTAAAACAAATAAAACTTAATATAGTGCAAAAAAGTAAAATATTTTACATTTACTTTTTGTTAAAAAAAATAACTATTTTCGTATTATTTACTGTAATTTTATACGGAATTTTAAATCCGAATACCCTATTTTATTTCATTTTATGACCGTCTTTGAACTGCAAACCAAATTTTTGAGTTTACGTCTACTAATGTTCAACGCCGTAGGTTTGTAATTTTGAACGCAATCCAGAGAACTAGGGATCTCCTGGATCAAGCATTGAGAGAAATTTTGCCTTTGTGGAGGACTTTCTGATGGAACTAACTCGCGTTTGCTTTGCAGGGCGAGAAAAACCAAGAAAACCTTCCAATGTTAGACTGACGGCAAAGGCACTTTAACCCATGTTCCGTCTACCACTAAGGAGATTTCATCTCAGATGGGAGATGGGATCTCAGTGGCGTGGTTATGGGGAGGATTTGGGGGACAAAACTCCTCTGAAATTAAACATTACTTGAATAATGAATTTACGGTAAGTAGGATGTAGATATAAAGAAGTTTTCATTGTTCATTTTTTGTAATTTGAATACTTTATATATACACCGAAGAGCCATTACATTATGACCACTCTGCTAATAACATGTAGAACCACCTTTAGCCCTCAAAACTGCTAGCACCCGTCGTGGCATTGATTCCACAAGATGCTGATAGGTAGTCTGAGATATCTGGTACCAAGCGCTCACCAACTGGTCCTGCAATTCTCTATCATTGCGAGGGGGTAGCGTGGCAGCGAATTTGGTTTTCCAAGTAGGACCACAAATGCTCTATTGGATTAAGGTCAAGTGAATTTGGGGGCCAAGACCTGACTTGAAAGTCAATGGAATGCTCCTCGAACCAATCCATGACGATTTTACCCTTATGGCATGTTGCATTATCCTGTTGGTAAACACCATCCCCCGCAGGAAAAACTGTTGCCATGAATGGGTGAACTATGTTCAAGTAGCTTACAGACGTCAGGGATTGTTCTATGAGGATTATGGGTTCTAATGTGCCCCATGATAACATTGTTCCTGGGTGAGAAACCATGAAAACCTCATGACTCAACAAGCAATTGAAACTAAAATTTTCATATTAGATATCTTTAGAAGCTTTGAATTAGATGATCTTTTCAGAAGAAAATATTTTTACATAAAACTGATTAGATGATTTAAAATAACTAAAGTATCATTGAAATCTGATGAGTATGTTACTTTTTACATAAATGTATTTAAAAAATGAGTAAATAATATTAATCGACTTTAGCGCAACTTTACATTAACAATAAATATTACAGAAGGGTACTGATTCGGGGATTCGAATCACCAACTTGCGACTGATTTCTGATTCGAGTCGCAATTATTTCATTCGAATCAGTTGATTTTATCGGAATAGATTTAAATTATTGTGAACCATAATTTCTTAAATTTTAGTTACTTTTGCTTCATAGTGATGCTATATCATAAATAGTTAAAAATTACTTGTAAAACTCAAGAGATTCTTACACATTTATTATTAAGATTTTTCCTTCCAAAATTTCGTTAAATTCACAAATAAAAAAAAAAAGAATGAATGAAAGTAAAAAAAGGAATTTCTTCGTAGTTTCTTAAAAACCAACACATTTAAAAATATTTAGAGAAATTAACAACATGTATAAGTAATTATATATTAGCTACAAAATATACTCGATTCGAATTACTGATTTTAATCACTAAATTCGAATCACTGATCTGATTCGCATAATACGAATCACAGAACTGAATCAATTGATCTGAATCACTAATTCGAATAGTGATTTGATTCACATGATCACTTTTGATTCGATTCACATGATTCAAATCATTTAACTCACTCACTAATAAAAATAGCTTGAATCATATCAGTGATAGGAATCACTTAATTTTCATAGTTATATGAATCACTTGACTCGAATCACAGAACCAAATCACTTAAATTGAATCACTGATCCAAATTACTTGAATCAAATCGCTGATCCGAAACTTTTTCGAATCATTTTTCTGAATCACCTAATTCGAATCACGAATCAGAATAATATGATTTAAATCACTGATCAGAGTCACTTGATTTGATTTGAATCCCTAATCAGAATCACATGATTTGAACCACTGATCTGAGTTACTTGATTCGAATCACTTGATTTGAATCACTGATCCGATTTACCTGATTTGAATCACTTGAGTTGAATCAGCAGTTTCAATTTCTTGATAATAATCACTGGTTCGAATCACTTAATTCAGTGATCCGACTCTAATTATTTGAATTGGTGATCTGAATCGCTTAATTTGAATAGGGATTTTAATCACTTTGTTAGAATCTCTGATCCGAATTATATGATTTTAATCACTAAACTTGAACCACTTGATTCGAATTACTCATCTGAATCACTTCTTTTGAATCACTGATCCGAATAATTTGTTTCGAGTATTATTTAAACTATTTGATATGAATCACTGATTTAAAACAATGATAAAAATTGTGATTCTAATCAGTCAAGCGAATCAAATTATTTGAATTACTATTCGAATCAAGTTATATGGATGACTGATTTGAACTAGGTTATTTAGGTACCTGATTTAAATCAAGTGATTCATATCAGTGCTTCGGATCACGTGATTCGGATAATTGGACTGAAATGATTTGAATGATCAAATCAAAATGTAAGACACGGATCAGTGATTTGAATTACGTGATTCGAACTAAGTTATTTGAATCATGTTATTCAAATCACGTGATTCAAGTCAGAATATCGAATCATATTATTCAACTATTTGAATCAAGTGACTGAAATTAGTGATTTGATTCAAATGATTCAAATGATATTCGAATAAATTAATTGGGATATGGGATTCGATTAAAGTTATTTGGATCAGTTATTCGAATGTGATTCGGCTCTTTGATTTAAGTCAAGTAAATTAAGATCACTGATTCGAATCAAGGTATTCAAATTGCGATATGATTGATTCGGACCCGTGATTTAGACCAGTGATTCCAGTGATGGCTGGTCGATACGAATACCGCATCTGGCCAGCCCCGACCACGGTGCTGACTTGAAATATCCTCAGTGGTAGACGGATCATGGGTTAGAGTCCCTTTGCCGTCAAGCTTATCGTGGGAGGTTCTCGTGGTCTTCCTCTCCATGTAACGCAAGTGCAGTTTAGTTCCGTCGGAAAAGTACTCCACGAAGGCAAATTTCTCCCAATACTTGATCCAGGAGTTCCCTTGTCTTCTAGATTGGGTTCAAAATTACAAGGCTACGGAGTTGAACATTAGTAGTCGTAAACCCACAAAGTG